GAATCCTTAATACTTTAAAATGTTAAATAATTTTATGTTATGTTTCATTATGAACGGGATTCTTTGGTAATTTTGCTTTTAATTTAAGTTTGACCTCAAGTACAAACCATTCAATTTCTCGGCCATTTATTTTACCTTCTTCATTTCTTCATGATCTCCATCTCTTCATCTCGTGTAAAAAAAATCGTTAGACCATTCAAATCAGATCATTTTTGACGGTGTAAGCAGTCTGGCCGTCTGGTACAGTCTAAGAGTTAGTCAAACCGTTCAGTCTAGTTTGTGGTTTGAACGTTCGTTTGAGCGTCTGGACCAAATCGACCGCCAAAAATACACATATATTAATTATATTTAGTTTTCATGTTTGTAGACTCAACTTTTATGACCCAAGCTCATCTAAGACATTATATATTTAGTTTTCATACTTGAGCACGTTATCTAAATTGATAAAATCCTGAAATCTGTCAAAAATCAAATAAAAAATTCCAAATCATCTTTCAACTTGCTCAATGTTTGTCCAAAATTCTAATTTTAAAACCCATAAGAACCTCAAACCGCCTAAACCGGTGAGTCAACTGTAGCCAAACCGCTCGGTTTCAAACCACTTTTTTATGGTCTGGTTTGACCTGTTTGGTCAACTGTAGCCAAACCGCTCGGTTTGGAAAATTTCTAAACCACCATTTGCGGTTGGTTTGTGGTTTGGGGAGTAAACCATCCGAACCAAACCGCCCGTCTCTCAATTCTCCTTTGGCTTAATTGCTATGGAACCACAAGTTTCTTTTTCTTCCTATCGTCTCTACATCGCTCAATCTCTTGCTCTCGATCATTTTTTTAATTCTTTTGCTGGATTTTAGGGTTTATTTTACGAAGTTTGGATGTACTATCACACGTTATGACTGAAGTATTGTATGTTCTTACTACTTGCAAAGTTTCTCCATCTCTTCTTCTCTTCGTTCTGCTGTTATGCTTTTGTCTCCAGATGGTTGAATGCAACACATGATGGTCTTTTGACCTATTTCGTGCTTTGATAAATGGTTTGCATAATATTTTGAGAAAATGCATATTTACTCAGTTACTTGAAACCCTGATAAATCATGTGTTGGTGAATATTTAATGGTTTTGAACTATAAACGAAAGTTTTGATAAATCAGTATACTAAATGAGAGTACTTTGTAATATAAGAGTTCAGGGTTATGTCAACTGTTGAAAGATACTTGATTCAAAGGATTTTGGGGGGAGAGGGTTGCCCTGCTTTGATTATCCATTGTTTATATTGGGATAATGAATTGCATAAATTTGCATAGTTGTTGAGAATTACATGTGTTGAATGTGTTATCATTGAAGTATTGAGTCATGTAATTTGAAACTGTAATGCATTAGATCCATGAGCATATGAGTTAGAGGTTATTTTTTTACCTCTTAATAGTTTCATTAATAGGCAGCTTCTGAATCGCTAAGAGGTGAATCTTGTTTGGAAAAAAAAATATGTTTTTTAATGGTTCTAAAACCTTCTGAATAATTTTGTATATTGAGTCTTCCTTAACCATTCAACATCCTAATTTCATTCTGAATAATTACCAAACAATTATATTTCATTTTGCACTATATTATAAGAGCATTTTAATCATTCTGCATCAAACCATTCACCAACTGCCAAACAGACCCTTAGTCTTGTTTGATAAGTGAAAAGTTTTGATGTCCTCAGTTTGTAACTAAAAGAGTAGTCACAGAGTCGGGGCATTATGGTGAGTACTCACTTGGAGTCATACATTAGCTATTGACTTATGGGCGTATCTCTTATAGTTTTTTTTGTAAAATTCAGAGATTGTGCCAAATAAGAAACGTGGAAAACATTTCTTTCGATCATATGTATTCCTCCATTTCCGATACGACCCAAACTCAATCCGCGTGAAGCAAGTTAACTTAACGCGCCATCCTGGCCTCGATCCATTACTTTATTGACAGCTGTAAATACGACAAAGAACACGTGAAGAGTGATTCCGCTATATCTATATTCCTTCTAGTCCCAATGTAACCCTATACAATCCTCATGATCTGGCTCGATAAAACTCTATTTAACTCATCATTCAAATCCGAAAACCATCATTGTATTTACCTTGGTTCTTTTAAACACCTACTCTGGTCCATCGGCGATCTCAACAAATTCCTGCCCTCAATCGTAACGCCCTTTGATCTATGCACCTTCCTTTCCTCAAAAGTCCTCCATTTCCGCTTTTAGAGACTCTTTTGTTTCTTGACTATCAACATATTTCGTTCCTTAATTGTAACGACATTCGATCTATGCACCGTTGTTTCCTCAAAAGCCTTCAATTTCCGATCGTAAACAATCTTTTCTGTCCATATGCTCCTTATCGATTCTTCTAAAATCTAAACCACAAACATTCTCTTTTTTGAACGAATTTCCGAATCCCAGTTGACGATCTACCCAAAGGAGAACATGATTGCAAAAATCTAAGTAAAATTTCTCAAAAGCAAGTCTTGTTGAAATTTATGAAAAAGGAAATACAGGTGGAAATCAAGGATCGTTAGATTTTCTTGTGACGAATTTGGTTTGAAAATCCCCAATTAAACGATCAGTCAAAGGTACGATTCTATATTAGAATATTTCGTACATACATCGCATATATATATTTTTATTTTTTATTTTCTTTGGCTACAAAAATTTTAAAAAAATTCATATAAAATGTTTTTTTAAATTTTAAATGTTTTTTCAACAAATTTTGGCATATTTTTGTGTTAGGAAAAGACACTTTTTTCTTATCGAGTCGTGTTTTTGTATTAAAAAAAGGGCATGTTCTATTAAAATCTAAGCTATGGTATGAAGCAAACATCATGACAAAATTGGCTTTATAGGATGTCTAGATTGTTTAAGCGTTCTAAATGAACAATTTATAAAACTTAGATTTATAGAACCAAATTATAAAGCGTCTTATCTAAAAACATTACATGATAAGCTTATAGGACGTTTTAGATGTTTTAACAAGCTTTTTTTTATGCTTTTAAAATAAAGTATTTTATTAGCTATTTTATATAACATTTTTTAGAAGTATCCTATAAACCCATCTTTTTATAGGACACTTGCGTTTATAAGACATTTTTTCAACTGCCGTAACATTTTATTTTAAAAACGTTATAAAAAAATTGTTAAACCGCTTAAAAGCGTCTTATAAAGCTACTGTAACACTTTTATATGTGATGCTTTTTGATTTGGTCCTATAAACTCAAGTCTTATAAAATATTTTTTAGGACTATTCTAAGTTTTAGACATCCTATAAAATCAATTTTGTTATAGCAAGGGGATAGAGGAGAACACCTCACTTGTCCTCATACATTTACGTGTTATTATCATGAATGGTGTATTATTCATAAAAAATGTGTATCATTCATCATGAATAATGTATCAATTTATCATGGATCATAAATTGTTCACGAATGTTCCAAGTTCATTATTCAACTCCAACATATTTCTTGATTTTGAGATTTCTAACGATTATTCATTTACTTGATTTGTTGGTTGAAGGTGTTCGAGTTGCAAAATTGAATTTTTTTTTAAAACAAATTTAATTTTTAAATGATATTATATTTTCTCGCTTACTTTTTTTTATTTTAGAATTTATTTTTGGAAAATCTGTTAAAAAAAACTCAAAAATTCTTACTTTTGTCCATTTTTAAAATGCTTTTGTCATTTATTTCAATTTAGAAATTTTGGGCATTTAATTAAAATAAAAAAGAATTTTTATTTATGATCACCTCAACATTTGCACACGTGGTTTAAAAGTTGTGTTCACGAAAGACAAGACTGTTTTCGTGAGACATAGTGTTTACATTTGAAACTTCATAAAGAAATGTTGTGAAAGTAAAAAAAATCTAATCTTCACATCAAAAACACTGTGAATGTTACTTTCACAGTGTTTTGATGTGAAATTCAAATATAAAAATCGTATCTCACGAAAACAACTATGTCTCACATTATCCCAAGTCCGTGTACCCAATCCCACCGTCCATTTTTCATATAATGGTTTCACATTAGTTGTGTCTCTCTAATCACACACATATAAATATTTTTATTTATTTTTTATCTTTTACCTAAACAAAATCGATTTTATGATTTTGGTTCATATAGTTTTTGATTGAGTAAAAAATAATTTTTTTTTTCATTTAACAGATTTTTTAACGACCATTAGAGAAAGGGATTAAATTTGAACCTTTTTGCTAATTATGATGACAATCTTGTAATTTTGAAACAACAGGGACAAATAATTTTATTTTTGAAAAACAAAGGGACTAAATTTGTAGTTTACTCTAAATGCTAAATGTTAAATGTATACACTCGTCACATCTATCTTCGAGGGTGTTCGGGATTGCTTATTTGAAACAACTTATTCTTTTCTACAAAAACACTTATCAACTTATCATAAGTCAGAAAAATTTAACTTCTTCAAAAACTTCTTATTACCAGTTTGACACCGATATAAGTTGTTTATCCAAACACTCAAAAATACTTATTACCGGTGTCACACCGGAATAAGTCATAAGTTGTTTTTATAAGCAATCCCAAACACCCTCTTCCTTCTAGCAATAAAACAACCTTAAATAACACATCAAAAAGTTCATTGATTCACGATTGTTTATCAAGTACTAACTCGATAAGTATTAATTGGTTATTTATCTTACCAAGTGAACATGACAAAGATCGAGATTTTTATTTGGTAACAAAACATGATAAAGAGCGAGGAATTTTACTTGGAAAAGAGTCATCATCATCGGTACTTACCCAATAAGATTCTCGATTTTTATCATACTCACCAATTAAGATACAGTGACATGATAAGCGTTCAGTTACATTAGTTTGTGTGTTAATCGCTAACCCTAAGTTGATTTCGTTCATTTAATTAATTGACTTCTTGTCAGGTTGTTAACTCTCTAACTTTTAATCAACAGAAAGCAGAAAAGCAGAAAGCAGATTAGATAACTTTGTAACAATGGCGGAGATGTCTGTGACAAGGGCACTTACGAGGATGGTCTGCCCTTCAACATTTGCGCCAGTTAATGGTTTTGTGAACAGTTCGTTATATGTTGGGGATTTGGATGGTAACGTTACCGAAGGCCAATTGTTTGATCTCTTCAGTACAGTGGGGCGAGTTGCTTCAGTTAGGGTTTGTTGTGATCGAGAGAAAGGGGTTTCACTTGGCTATGGCTATGTGAATTACAATAACGCACAAGATGGTATGCATTCTCCCACGATTATTTGTTTGTTTGACTACTTCGATTTGAACTAATTAACTGACTGCTTGTTATATAACATTTTCAGAACATCACAGTATACATTTTATATATCATTACAACAAAATCGGGTTTATAAGACACTCCAAATTTCTAAGCGTCCTAATAGACCTCTTTATAAGACTTAGTTTATAGGACCATAAAAATAAAATGTCCTATCTAAAGGCATTGTAATAAGTTTATATGACGTCGTAATAAGTTTTTTAGGACATTTTCAATATAAAACGTCCCATTAGCAACTTTATAGGACACTATTTGAAAAATTGTCCTATAAAAACAAATGTCCTATAAAATATTGAGTTTATAGGACACTTTCTCAAAAGTGTCCTATAAAGTTGCTAATACGACACTTTGTATTAAAAATATCCTAAAAAACTTGTTAAGACGCTCAAAAGCGTCATATAAACTTATTACAACACCTTTAGATATGACGCTTTATATTTTAGTCCTATAAATTAATTCCTATGAAATGGTCTATTAGAACACTTAGAGATTAAGGGTGTCCTATAAACCCAATTTTGTTGTAGTTTATAATAAACTTTATTATTATTGATGATATGTTGTTATCAAACCATATAATCTAATAAAAACCTAACTCTTTGAACAAGATTCTTGTAGTTTTATTATTATTTTAATTGTATTATTTATTTTATTCTAATAAATCTTATAAAACATATAACAAAATTAATATAAAATATATTTTTTAACTTTAAATAAATAAATCCATTTATATAATTATATATAAATAAAATGGTGAAAATTTGTGATCTTATTACTCGAAGATCAAGTGAAAATACTTACAAATGTAAGTTGTTGTTATTATGGCAGCTAAAAAAGCTCAAGAGCTTTTGAACTTCACAAGGATTAATGGAAAACAAATCAGGATCATGTTTTCGAATCGCGATCCCAGCACGCGAAAAAGCGGGATCGGCAACGTTTTCGTGAAGAATTTGGATTCATCGATCGATAACAAGTTTCTATACGACACCTTTGCTGTTTTCGGTACCGTGCTTACTTGTAAAGTTGCTGTTAATAGCAATGGTGAATCAAAAGGGTATGGATTCGTACAGTTTGATCGCGAAGAAGTTGCACAAACTGCAATAAGGACGTTAAATAGAAAGTTGATGAACGATAAGCGAGTTTATGTTGGCCCGTTTATTCGCCAAGAAGAAAGAAGGAATATTGCGAATGTGTATGAGATTATTAGAGAGGCTAATTTGTACATGAAAAATCTTGATGAAAGCATAACCGATGATATGTTGGAGGAGTTGTTTTCCGAGTTCGGAACCATAAAATCTTGCAAGGTACGCTCGTTATATGTTCACCATATGCTGTTATTCCTAGGGGTTTTCATGGAAACTGTAACCCTATTTTCTGAGGTAGAGGTCATATCTGTGTACATCTTACTCGTCAGACCCTACTTTTAAGTGGGATTTTTGGTTTATTTACAGGTTATCATATCAATAACTGATGTTGACTTTGGTTTAAAACTTTTAGGTCATGCTTGATCCAAAAGGAGTGAGCAAGGGTTTTGGATTTGTTGCTTTTTCGAAACCGGACGAGGCTAAGAGGGCTGTAAGTTATCTCGATTCTTTAACACATACGTCTGTCTGTCTTTATTCTTATGGGTCGTTATACCAAACGTTTACCTTCTCTTCTTTTACTGATGGTAACTGAATATTTACCGTCTCTTGCTTACTCTGTAAGTCTTACTGTCTCATTTTGCTAACCAAGAATCATACTCGGTAAACGAGGGTGGTAACTTTTACACGGTTAGTGTTCAGATTGGTAATAGATGCTTATACGTATGTTACTTTAGTGACCATGCACGAATCGTACCATGTAAGGGTAGTAGCGTCGTGACTCTAAATTACCTAAATACATCATATACAAACCCTAAGGGGACGTTTGGTTCGTAGAATGGAATTCGATGGAATTGAAATTCATCAAATGAATTGACTTTGAGGGAATGAAATGGAATTTGACCATGCCTTGTGACTGCGTTTGGTTGAATGGAATTGGATTAGGGAAAGAATCTGTAGGAAAGGAATTGAAATCCTAGCATATTGCCATGGAATTGTAAAATCTATGCGTGAAGGAATCGACTGGAATTGAAAGGATTCCATAGTCTTATTTCATGAACCAAACACTCTACTTGGAATTTGGTCAAAAGATTGGACATTCCAATTCCTTTCAATTCTCATGATCCAAACAGCCCCTAAGAGTTCGCTTCTAAGTGGGGTATAATAGGCTCGGTGAGTTCCGTATGTTTTATCTACTCAATGTGTTGAATCAGATGGATGAGATGAAAGGAAAGATGGTCGGGCGCAAACCCTTGTATGTCACGATCGCTCAGCCTAAAGCCGAAAGAATGGCTCTACTACGGGTAATTATCTAAATTACCGTTCTTTAACACTTCTTTTTTTAATTTATATACAACAATGAACTCGTACACCCTCCTTAGCCTTGGTGGCATTTGAACCCGACCCTTATGTATTGGAAATGGGTTCTACTTGTAACCCAAATGCAGACCCTTTGGTCTATGACATTATGTTACTTGAGTTTATGGATTTGTAATGATGTATTTCAGGCACATTTTGGTCCAAGTTGGGTTCATCCTGGTGCACCTAACCTAGCCCCCCAACCACTATATTTGGGTCAAGGTGGTCCACGGTTGCTACCTCGTCCTGGTTATGGGATAATGACTGGTGTTCACTCTTCAAATTTCTTGATGATCCCTTATGTGCCTCTAAGGCGAGGTCGATCGGAGAATCACTCGGCTCCAATAAGCCCACCGAGCCCACATGCTATGTCTCGACAGGTGCACGTATTTACATAATTATCCGTATTACAATAAAATCGGATTTATAAATGTTTTGAATGTGTTTTCTGACAGTTATAACATCTTGTGTTATTTAAATTTAGCCGATGCCCGATGGCCCGAGCCAACTTTTCCGGCATGTGTTTAGTGGGCGATTTGTTGCGGACAATCGTATGGTTGAAGCTCTCATGGATAACGACGTGTTTCAAGTGCCTTTTGATATTGCATCGTCGTCGTCCCAAGTTAATCTCCAGCTTTCCGGACCAATTGATCACCGCGGAAAATTTGCTTCGGTGTTGGCTTTCGCTACTCCGCAAAACCAACGATGGGTATTGTTCTTTGCCATATAATAACTTTCGAAAGTAAAATAGTTTCAACTTTTACATATACATAATGCGTTTTTTTACCCGGTTGAAATACACATTTTTACATGGTGTTACAACCGTGTAAAAGTTTTAACCCACCCAAAAGTTTTATACAAACTTAGTTATTGCAACATTTTTACATAGAATGTACAATTGTTTGGTCATATAAACTTAAGTCCTATAAAACAGTCTATTAGAACATGTGGACATTTTTTGAGTCCTTTAAATCCGATTTTGTTATAGTGACGAGCAGTAGTAGTAATAGTAGATGTGTGGTCACTTTTTTAAACGGTTCTACAAGTGTGCATCTTTTTACACGATTTCTTCGACTAAAACCGTGTAAAATATTTGAGAGTCGTTTTGCTTGTCAAAATTGCAGATCCTCAGCGAACACCTATTCCCGTTGGTGGAACAAATTGAGCGCGAGAATGCAGCTAAGGTAACTGAGATGTTGCTCGATTCGATGGATCTAACCGAAGTTATTCATCTAATCGAGTCTCCGGAAGCTCTTAAGACGAAGGTTGCAGAGGCCATGGAGACGATTATTTCTCGTGTCGAGTTTTAGGTTATGTGTTGATGATGTTTTCTGTAAACTTTGGAGGAGTTTTTTAGAATCTTTGAACATTTCGAATTATGGATTTTCATCAACTTTGGGTTTTTTCGTGGTTTTAATCTTATGGTATGCTTAAATCGGATGTTATGGTTGAATGATACCCTCCACATCGGAAATCGACCAAAATTAGCTATTTTAAACGAACATCTTCACTTTTTAGTCAGCTTTTTCATATTCAGATCAAAATCGTCAGGATTCTACGACTGCCCGCCCCGCTATCTTCGACATGGATCCAGGTAATACTGTCTTATGGTTCTTTGTTATCCGTATATGGCCTTTTTTTTCATTTCGCAACTTGCAAAATATAATTTTTATAGATGAAATATGATTCTGTTGAGTCGTTTTAAAAAACCACTATGGAGGGGTTGTTTGGCAATTGCTGAATGATTTGGTGTAGAATGATTAAGGGGCTGTTACCCAAATGCTTACCCGGTAAGTGCTTACCTATGAGTTAACATTTATTTTGATGAGTAAGATTTTTAGTACATCAAAACATATTGAATGCAACAATTTACCGGGTAAACGCTTATCTGGATAAGAGTCGTAATCTTCACGTACCGGGTAAGACTCTCCATCTTTCTCATCGCTCTTACTCGGTACGATTATTGGCCCTTGTCATGTTCATTTGATAAAGAAATTTATTCGGTAAGCACTTACCAAATAAGCGTTTAGTAAACGGCCCCTAAAATTTAGATGAGATGGATTGAGAGGGTCTGAAAGCACAAATAGCACTTGGAGTCAATGAGATGGATCAATGATACGTTTCCCAATTGGAAGAGGCATGAATCAGTTCTCGTTTCTCGATTGAGAAAGACTCATATCAATTTACGTTTCTTCAAAGACGTGATTGATTGAGTGGTGCGTGATCATAATCTAGGATCGAGTCATGTTCATGGATCGATTGAGAGAAGATGTGTATTTGTTGACGGGCGTGATTGAGAGGCATATATGAGATAAGATCCAGGAGAATAAGAGGTTGATTTACCTCTTATAAATTCAGATGACGGTAAGAGGTTACAGGTTCTAATTATCACTAAAGAAAATCAAACGCTCATCTCGCAACTTACAAAATGCATTTTCTTTTAATTAAATAGGACATAGGTGGGGTTGGTTTACAAATTGTCTTTTTGGCTTGCGAAATCTTCGGGGTTGTTTGTTTACCTCTTAATAGTTTCATTAAGAAACAACCTCTGAATTGTTAAGAGGTGAATCTTGTTTGGCAGAAAAAAAAAGCTGCCTCTAATGGTTCTAAAACTATCTGAATGATTTTGTATCATGGATCTCCCTTAACCATTAAGAGCCCTAATTTCATTGTAAACAATTACCAAACAATTATATTTCATTTTGCACTATATCATGAGAGCCTCTTAATCATTCTGATCACTTACCCAATCAACGCTTACCCAATTTCTTTTTACAGTAAACACCTCCTTAATCTTACTTGTTACTCGAAGGTCGGTCCCATCTTCCCAATGCAGGCTTCAAAACAAGATTGTGTTTCCGCATGATGTATCCATTTTGAAGTTTAGCATGTCAATAAAGCTCTACACATCACTAGCATTGTGAGGATACGTGGAATCCATTAAAAGAGCCCTTATATAGACGGGGGAGTTCCTACACATATACAGGTTTTATGGTCCATATGTAACTGATGTGGGAATCCAACAGTATCGAACTTGTTAACGATTATAATACATGCACTATTCCCTAAAAACCCTAGTTTATCTACTCTTGTAATAACTTAGTATCCATTTTGAGATCAAACAAACATTTAGGCATCAAAAAACTAGACCAAATCTCATACATTTCAATTGGGAAGGAACATGTTTGAATCTTTTAAGTCCACCCTTCTTCTTAAACTTAGAGCATCATGTTTCTTTAACTCATGAGTTCACTCATTAAGGGGAGTAGGGAACGTTACCAAATGTTTACCAGGTGAGCATGACATGGACCGAGAATCTTACCCAGAAAGACGCATGCCAAGGACCAAGAATCTTACCTAATAAACGGGGGAAAAGACTCTTAGGGGTTGTTTATCAAACGTTTACTCGGATAAGCGTTTATGGGTAAAATTCAACACTATCACTAACCATATAAGATTTTAGTCCACCAAAACGGTGTCGTATGCAACAATTTACTAGGTAAGCGCTAACCATGGTAAGATTCGTCGCCCTCACTTACCTGGTAAGACTCTCGGTCCTTGCCTTAGCTCTTGCCCTATAAGATTCTTGGTTCTTGCCATATTCATCCAATAAGGTAACGTAACTTGGTAAACGGCCCCTTACTCGATAAGCAATGCTTACCAATGATCCATTTTGATGGCCAAGAATATTATCCAACAAGGTAAGTGAGGTTGGTGAACCGATAAGCGATTACCAAACAGACCCTAAATCATCCTCAACAAAGATAAACAACATCATTAAACCAAGATAATGCATTAAAACCAGTAGAAATCATGAAAATTTAACCATTATTAACTTAAAATTCTTTATCATGGCTATCATTCATTATCTTCTCATAAAATTGGGGATTCCCACCAGAACCCTTTGTCAGTTCATCTTCAACATAGCAAATAACATAATTAAATAAAGCTAATTCCTTGAAAACATGAAAGAAAACAGATTAGCCCCAAATGAACAAACCTCATTATTCATTCAATTGTCCAAGTTCAGCCTTCAATTGTTCAATTTTCAACCCCATAGACCTCTGTATTCCCCCTCTTTCCTTTTCAGGCAATTTCGAAAGCAATCCTTCATACATATCGAGAACTTCTTTAACCACAGCACGAGCACATTCAGCTTCTTCATTGAAATAAACAGTTTCTTTTGATTCCATCGCCATTTCGATCTCTTCTCTTGCCTCTGCGAACTTCAAGTTGATTTCATCAACAACTTTGTCAGTTTCAACAGTGTATGACCGATAGATCTTGAATTGGGCATATGGGGCTTTCTCGAAACTAGAATTTGAAGGAGGGAAAGTAGTCGGGTTTGAAAAGAGGTGAAATGATTTTGTAGTGATTGCTTTGAAACCAATTAGGGATGTGGGTTTTGAAGATCTTGCAAAAGGGCTTCTGCTGAGTAATTTGCATAAAGAAATATGGCTTCTTCGATGCATTTCGATACTGGAAAACTTGGGAAGATTAATGGCGATCGAACTCCAGTATCTGTTCCTTCTTTTGGGATGCAACGAGCTGCTGATAACCTCAAATGGAGATCAAAGTCGAAATGGGGCAGTTGCCTCTGAAAACCTAAGCCGAGTTTTGGTGACTTCTTAGATATTTATAAAATATTCTTTTAATTTTAAGATTTATGGTATTTTTATTTTATATTTTTATTGTTAATAATATTTTAATAAAATAAAGTTATATTAACATTTAACTTTATTTAATTTTAATGTACTCGATAATATTAACTTTTAGTAATTTATAACGTAAATAACATATTCAATTAAAATATATCATTTATGTGTATTTTAATATGAATACATTTTTTTATTAACCTGGATATCCAACCCGCTATACAAACTAATTAATCACAGGATGACCACTCGTTTTGCAGGTAATCCGGAGTAACCGCATTTGAACATCCGTGGCCACAAGGGGATTTTTATTCCTTTTTGGATTCAAACCTGAGACTTTCATGCACTTTTTGACCTTTAGAGTCCAAACTTAAACCAATCGGACACCACCCTTATGATTAACAGATGAGATGAAAATACATAATGACCACTGAAATGAAAACATGTACCTTCGCTGTGCAACATAGTTATCGTGAGACTTGCATTCATCAACAGATGACACTCACGTATATGTTAAAATAGGGAAGTAAACAGTACTTGAAAGTCTGAAGGGATTTTGTCAAGCAATAGTGGAAATATCTTCAAAGAAATATTTGAGATCATCAACGACAAATGATGTTTGGAAATTTCTCTATCTTAATGAAAACATAGATGTTCCATGAATGTTGGAAAGCTCAGATTTTATGCACTATAGATTGAAAAATTGTCCATACGTGAGCTGGGTTCAGAACGTCGTGGCCCTTCCTTCACCACCTCCATGTGGATGGTCTACAGGGTCACGACGAGACGAACTGTTTATCATTACGATAGGTGTCAAGTTGGGGGGGAGACAATTTGTAGGTAATAGTCAGGGACGTCCGAATATTTTTGTAGGCCCTCATACACCATACTAGAACTACAGACAACATGTAATGAGTAATAAACAACAAAAACATTTAAAATGATAAAATGAGAAGAACGTCGAATAGTTGTTCTTGTTTTTGATCGGCAAATTCTGAAATTAAATACTTGTTTCTAAAATTTTGAAAAAAATTAGATAGGTTTTTATTGAGGTTGATTCACAAATTTATATAAATCAAGCACAAACACAAGTATAATTGGGCCCTGAAATTTTAGGAGGTCTGTTCGAAAACTCATATTTAACATGCTAATAGATGACTTTGTAATAGTGGATCACAATTGGTTATTCGAGAAGTTGTCACGCATGCTTATTTTGTTTTACCAAGCACCAACTATGATATTAATATGTTGAAGTTTTCCCATCTTTTCTTCATGCTTAAGTTATTGCTCATTGTGCTCCTATGAAATTCAAGGAAAAGAATGACATAAGAGTTAGTACATGGTTGATGCTTGATAATATATATCTAAAATGGGGTATTATATTGGAAACGATTCATGTACCGAGCTAAAAAATATATTTTACTTTGCAACAAGAAACATGTACAAAAGATGTTGAACGTGCCTCTGAGTTATCAGTCACACTTTGCAATTGTGGCACGATCGACCCGTTTTTTGGAAGAAAAAGGCGATATATGACATAATAGCTATGTGTATTATTTTACATAATACAGTAATCGATGATGAACGTGATCTTGACGCACTTATTGAGGTTGTGAGAAAAGTGTCACTGATAGAGGTCAAAATGATGACAGATGATAATGTTTGATTCCAACTGTATCTCGCATGATGTTGGTGCAAACATGTAATGTCTTTTTATATATAGACCCAGATTTATATGAGAACCACACAAAATGTATTTATTCATTAATGCATATAACTTTTGTCAATTGGTATAGATTCATCAATGCATATGTACTGTGTATGTAAGAGTATAAATATAAGGGGCCTTCATTTGAGATCTTGTGAAATCCATTTTATTTCACAAATTATATTAATTAAATCATTAATATAGAAACATTGTAGTTTTAGTAACTTTGAGTAAATAATTTAAATAATAGAACTTGTTTTAGTAACATTTGAGGAAAGTCTGATAAAACTTTAAAGTGTAAACTAAGATGTGGTTTAGGGCTGTTTACCAAATACTTACCTGGTAAACATTTAGTAGTAAAATTATACACTATCATTTACTTACTGGGCAATATTTTAGTTAACAAAAAACGGTTTTCTATGCAACAATTACCCGGTAAGAACTGACCGTGGTAAGACTTATTGCCCTCACTTACCGGGTAAGACTCTAGGTCATTGTCTCGCTCTTACCGGGTAAGATTCATGGTCCTTTTCATGTTCATCCGATAAAGTAATTTAACTTGGTAAGCGCTTACCCAAGTAAGCATTTGGTAAACGGCCCCTAAGATGTTCTGACCGGGTAAGCAAGCCTCTCGACTCTTGCTGGGTCAACATCTTGGTCAACAACATTTGTTAGCCTGGAAGGTGTTGGTAAAAAACCATTATCTCTTACCCTGTAAGCACTACTTACCTGGTATCTTATCTTGGGTTGACTTTTTTAGCCTCGAGTCTTATTTTGTTATCTATTATCACATAGGAAACAACTAATCGGTCGATTGTCTATCTTCTAGTGGAAGTTCTCTGTACCATTTGAAAATCGCATAAAATCTTATTAATTATTATGCAGCTTTCCCCATCTTTTAGGGAACGCATTTCTATCAAACTGGTGTCTAATTGATACGGGTTTTGATTTATCCGATGTAAAATGAGATATTAAGTAGTTGGTGGTCATGTACTTGCCTCATAAGCTCTTGGTGTCTTCATAATTGAAACTTAATCCATTCTCCACACATCCACATTTTACCTAACTTTGTTAGGTTTCATTTTCATGCTAAGATATGTAGTCTCCCGCAAAGCAGGTGGTCGTCCTGGAATTAGTCGGTTTGCATAGCGGGTTGGATATATAGGTTAATAAGATATGCAGTCTAATGTCTAGCACAGTACTTATTGTACATTCTTCATCTATCCTAGATTGGCATGGTGCCACAATCTTCATAAACCAGTTGTCTACATATAATAACCAAACAAAACGAACCCAATATATTCCACTTGAAAGTAAGATCTGGACGGTAGGATGTTCACAGACATGTCCACCCAAAAGGGTAGAGCTGTTATTTTCGTGAAGACCCTTGTCTTCATAGAAACAACTGCTCTATTCTTTAGAGGGTAGAGAACATGTTTGCATGCATCCCACTCCCAAAGACTATACTTTTGAGTGAAAGTAATTGTTTGCTTGTGTTGGCTTAATAATTCTCTTTCTGATTTCCAAAGGTATTGTTTTCTGGCACGTCCTAATTGATTTGAGATGAAGACTTTGTTGAGTTCAAATATCACACGTGATAATATATGTAGGGGGATTCAGTAGTGCATGGACGAGTTGGCCTATGACCTATTCTGCATCAAAAGTCGATTGTTTCTCTGATTTGGTATTATATGTGATATGGGTATTCCAATGTTTTTGTAAAGTTGTGGTATTCTCAGTTAAACTCAATCACGAACTATTATAGTGTAGTTTTGAGAAATCACATATAGAAAATGGATAGAGATGATGTTAATATATGTGATTGAAATTTTGACAAGAGGGATTTACTTGGCTTTTATTTAAAACAAGCCCTACATTAATGTTGTGTTACTCTTTTATTTTATTTTTTTGTTTTGTCATGCATCTGTATATGATATTAATGTTATATGCAAGCAATCAGATGGACATATGTGTTGTCTTACACTCCAGACTTTTTTTTTATAAAAGAAAGGGAAAAAAAAGAGGAAATAAAAAATAGGTGTTTTCGAGATTTTTTTAGGAGAAGGAAGGGGGAAAAACTAACTATTAAAAAGATTATCAAAATTACGAAGCTACCCATCAGTTACAAACCGTTGAAAAAAGCAAAATGATATATTTGTAAAAATGATATCTTTTTCATTTTCATTTCCTCATGTTCAAGAATATGAGATCTTATGTTCTTGCATTTCCTTCTGTTCTTATCGCATTAAAAAATAACATAAATTGTTATATTTATAAAATATATCTATAAAAATGTATGGTTGATAAGACAAGCTCAATTACATCAAAAGTTGATCATAAGTATTTACATTATACACATGGCTCAAAATTTATTGTATTTACGGTTTTTCTTATTATAACAATGTATTTTAAAAAAATTACCCGTTATAACATTGAGTAACTTTTTGATTTAAATTTACCCGTTATAACAAGTTTAAATCCCACCTTACTGTCTACGTAGGCTGTCTATATGTACTAGACAACATTATACTTTTAATTTTAATATTTTTATTATTCAGACGTTTTACATATTATTTAATAAATATATTAAATGAGTTAGAAAATTTATAAATTATTCATTAATCATTATATTTTTTAAATAACTAAATGATACTTTTATTCTTAATAATAAAGAGAAAAACTTTCTCTATTTCATAATTAAAGGTATAATGAGAAATTAAAATTTTAATTTTAAAAGTAAAAACTTATTTTAAAACAAACTAAAATAATAATGTGAAAATTTAATTTGTGACGGAGAAAGTTAACCCTACTCCATATATGGTTTAAACACAAATTCAGTCCAAATTCAATGTTAACTTTGCTAAATTAGAATTGTGTGAACAAGAATCAAGTTTTTGGCGCAAAATTGATACAAACTAAAGTAGGAGGACTAAAAGTGAAACAAGAAATTCTGAAGGGGTACAAAATCAAAATGTGAAATGTATGGTAGAATGAAGGTGTACGTGGAGGTGTAGCAACTAGCAAGGTTCACTTTCAGAATGTCCTTGAAGAATTGGAGATTTCAAACCGTTCTTTGGAACACCAAGAATCTCGGAGGCAGTGTAAAAAATCGTATGCAATCAGCGACGCCAACAATTACTCTTCGCCTTAACGTTCGAATCTCAGTTGGATTACTTGCAATGTTTCTTCTCAAGGTCAAATTTCACCTCCGAATTTCTCGTTTATCGTCGTTTTCTTTCCATCAATTTTGCATTTTGTATAAATTTTCGATAAAAATTGTTTGAGAGTTTTTTTCCCGCTTTTTATGGGTTTGATTGATTGCAGGCATGGAGATCAACTGCTTTCGGCGTTTATGGGTACCTCAATTTCACCAAATCTGGCTTCTTGTGAGTAACAAATGCACACATTGTTCCGTATATGATGAAATGGGGTTTTGCTTTATGTTCAATTTACTGTCATCTGATCTTGAAGATTTTGTACTGAATTGTGTTTGAAGTTAAGTGATGTTTGGACTGTTATCATCTGATTGTTATGATTTGAAGTCTTCGGAATTAGTTTAGAGTAAAATCGATGGTTGAAATTAACTGAAAATTACCTACCATTTGATTAAGATCAAGCAAATGATTATGAATTCTTCAAATCGCGATCATTACTTTAAAGAATCTATGGCCAAACACCCCATATATATGATGGAGAGTGGATGAAACTGTGCATTTTAACATTAGAAAATACTAAGCATCATAACAAGTTCTTTGGGTAATTGTAGAATATAACTATGGATACATTTGTGACTTCTATGTTAATGGGACTTGTGATATTTATGATAGTCGCTTGTGGTGTAGATTTCTATCCTGTTTATATATGATTGATTTTCTTATTATGTAATGATCTTGGACTTTTGACTTATGCAATCAACTGCATTAGTTTTAAAGAGTAGTTAGACTTCTGAATTTTCAATCCGATTTTAATTATTTTATTAAATGTAAAATATATATGCATCTTGTTGCAAACTAAATAGATTTTTAACCATCACTGTTTGTTATGAAGTTTAACGTGGTTGCAAAGTATTATACTGCAAATGGATTCTAGAGGTGAAAACCGGTCTATTTCAATTGAAATTCGAAGCATATCTTATCTTATGGAGCTGAGGGAGTAACTAGTATAGGTAATATGTAATGTGTAGTACCAATCATACATTTTGTTATTATTTACAATGCGGAAAGTTGAGCTCGATGTTGTGATACATGTTCGATTTATTTGACCAAAAAAACATTTTAAAGTATTACCAATATGAATGATGTGAAAAGTAATGGATGCTCAGTTTTCAGGAACATGATTTATGTTCATAACCCCTTCCTCCTAAAAAAGGTTTTATTTTAGTGTTTCGGAATCAGAATTCAATATTTGATTTGTATCATGATCATGGATTTTGTTTCAGTTTCTAGGAGTTTAGTGTTTAAAAGCTAGGTTTATGACTCAATTTGTATCTTCATCAAAGCCTTTGTTTCAGTTTGCTGGATTTTGATGTTCCAAAACTAGGAATTATGATTGGATATGCATCTAGGATTATAGTGTTTCAAAACTAGGATTTATGACTCCACACGTATCTTCATCATTATGGGTTTGTTTCAATTTCCAGGGGACACTCAAAGAATTTCAATCCAGAAGATATGTCAACACGAATAGATGGAAAGAATTGCATAGTGACCGGAGCTAATTCTGGGATTGGGTATGCCACTGCTCATGGTCTTGCATCCAGGTATTTTATCTTGATTCAAATGTTGTCCATTTCCTTCACAAACGTGTACCAGAAAATCTTCTGAATGTTTACCTTGCATCCAGGTGTTCTTTATGCTATTTCCATTGGACTTTTGATGGTCAAAAGAGCCAACTTTTAATTTTAAAATTGACAAAACAAAAAGATACCGTGTAAATAACATTAATTACTATGTTTAGCTTTTAAGAGGATTTTGGACATAAAAACTAAAGAATTTATGTCAAATTCGAACTTGGGAAGTATTAGGTTTGAAAGAGTCAAAAGTTGACTTTTCTGGACGGAGGCACTAATTCTCAAATTGTCCTCTTTTTGTTTTATTTCAATACCAGAGGAGCAACTGTGTATATAGTCTGTCGAAATAAGGAAAGGGGAGAAGCTGCTCTCTCTGAAATTCAGTCGACCACCGGCAACCAAAATGTTCACTTGGAGGTATGGTAGATAACTTTTTATTTATCTTTCCGGTAGCCATATGTCCCAAAACAAGAGTCCACTTTTGACATTTTTAAGTGTCACTTGAATCATCAAGTTTTAATTGTATCAAGATAATTGATAATGACATCAATCCATGAAAGGGGTATCAGGATAGAATCATTTTGAGATAAATTTGTACTCCCATGGTCCCTATGCAACGTTTCCCCTTTTGGCGGTGTTTCAATACAATATGATCTTTTTACCTATTAGCAACTCCAAAGCTTTCTACTTATAGTACTAAATATACAAATTGATTTCTTTGCATTGTATTTTAGCATTTAATCTGTCTTATATTTGGCTTGTAGATCTGCGATCTTTCTTCAGTCAATGACATCCAGTCTTTTTCTTCCAGATTTAAGGCAAAGGAGATTCCCATTCATGTGCTGGTAACCACCCCTGCTGCCACTGTTAAACTCTGCTTTTGTGTTTCAAATACAGTGTTTTTGTACTATAGCACACAAGAAAATCAACTGACTTAAAAGAAATTGCTTTTATGGATGCAATTTATAATCTTAAGACATCCTTACTCTGTGAACCCTCAATTTTGGAATTTACATTCTTTCTGGTTTCTATTTCTTACCTGTCTGATTATATGTCAAGTGACCGATAAGTATGGAGTTCTTTGTCCCATACTACCTCCATCTGGAAATTATAGTCAACATTTTGACTTTTAAGAGCCAAATGTATTTGCTTTTGTCTTCAAACTTTTTTTAATTTGTGGAAAGAGGATTGCAATAGAAACTACTTTGAGCACACAAATGAAATTTTAGAAGCAACTTTAATTTGATTTGGTTACAAAATGGTACTTGGACTATTCTATAACTTGCAGTTTTGGTCTATTGAGCTTTAGATTCGCAATTTGGTACATGGATCTTTGAACATTTGGTCCCTCCCTCCGTTTTTGTTAACATGATTCCACTAGATTAGAAGTACAATGGTCATTTCCGAGGAAAATTCTCTTGTTTGCTCTTTTTCTTATATGGATTATTGTTAAGATATATAAAGGGAGGGATAAAATGTTAAGGTATTTCCGTTTTAGGACCAAAATAAACCAAACCAAAAAAACCCAGTATAGTTGGTTTGAAAGCAAGGTCTAAGAGGGGTGGATGTAGGCTATCCTGATCTCTGACCCAAAGGGTAGAACTGCGGTTTCGTGAAGATCCCCGACTTGTGCAGAAGTGTGAGTAAAAAGGAAAAGACAAGGACAAGAAGGATAATGAAGACTAAGGGGCCGTTTACCAAATGCTTACCCGGTAACTCGGTAAGCTCTTACCAAGTAACATTACCTTATCGCATGAGCATGGAAATGACCGATAATCTTACTCTGGTAAGAGCGATGGCAAGGACCGAGAGTCTTACCCGATAAGTGATGGTGGCGACTCTTACCAAGTTAGCGCTTACTGGGTAAATTGTTGCATGCGATGCCGTGTGATTTGATCGAAATTCTGATTTTACAGATTCGAAATGAGAATCATCGTGGTTCTAGTATGAATCTGGGGTTTTAATCGATTCTCTGCAAGGTTCGTCCACGGAGGGTGAGTCAGGGCCTAAGATCAGGCCGAAAGGCGTAGTCAATGGACAACAGGTGAATATTCTTGTACTACCCCTTGTTGGTCCCGAGGGACGGAGGCGGCTCTTTCTAATAGACGGGAATGTAAATAGAAAACATCCCCTGGGAAAGCCTTTTATGGACTAAAATCTTACCTGATAAGGTGAGTCACTTGAGTGATAGTGTCTAATCTTGCCAGTAAACGCTTACCGGGTAAGTGTTTGGGTGAACAGCCCCTAACACATATTAAGCAGCAGAAAAAGAAGGAAAAAGGCACAAAGGAAACATAAACCAATTAAGATTACATACACAAACCCTTCTAGGACAGATGTAAAAACTAATGCTGACAGATTAAAAGCACTAGTTGTGAAATAGTTAAATGACCAATTTTCATTTCTGTAATTCAAAAAGTAGCAAATGTGATATTACAAAAATCGACCCTGGATTATCTCCCAAAGGGCTGATTTAGTTACTTGATTGCTAATTTTGTACATTTAGTCCAGAAAGCCTAAGTTAGGCCACAATGCTAGTCCAATTTGATTGTGCAGTTAATTTTGCACTGTTAAAAATGTCACATGCAAGCCATGTGACATTTTTAAGAGCATTTTGGTCATTTCTTCACCTTCATCTTCTTTCACCTTCATTCCGCACATTTTTGTTAACGAGTCTAAAAGCTTCAATTTGCCTCTTAACTCATGCATGCTAGAATGTCTTAACGATTCAGAATTCTTAATCATTCAACACATTCATTCAGATTTATAAAACACCACCTTAACTCTGTTTTCTTAGGTTAACAATGCTGGCTTGCTTGAGAACTCGCGAGTAACGACATCGGAAGGGTATTGGTTCTTTTTCCATTTTTATGAACAATTTTGCTTCATACCCATTTGATTAATGATGTTATTTCATTTTGTTTTTCGTTTACTTGGAAAACACCAGATACGAATTAAATTTCGCTGTGAACGTGCTAGGGACTTACGGCATTACAGAACTCATGCTTCCGTTGCTAGAGAAATCTCAACCTGATGCGCGTGTGATTACAGTATCCTCGGGTGGAATGTATACAGCTCCCTTAACCACAGACTTACAGGTTCATCTCCATTTATCTGAGACCCACAAATGAGAAATGATTTGCTGAGTCTGATGAGTTTGTTTTTGATGTAGTTTAAGGGTGAGAAATTTGATGGAGTCGAACAGTATGCACGCAACAAACGGGTACAGGTATCATTTCTTCGTGTAGTATTCTTTCTACCAGGAAAGTATAATAAAAAAATACGCCCCAAAAGCATGGAAAGTACCAACCATCATAGTTGTCAAATTCGTTAAACCGTAAGGGGGCCACCTCAACCGGCAAATAAAGGCTAGGCCTTGGGGCTCCTCCCCATAGGTCACCGGTTTGAGTTTCCTCAGGGGGGCACTGTGGAGTTTTCTGGCTGATATCTTTTGGCTCGGACACACGGTAAAACCTATTAGGATTCGTACATGTATAATTAAGACTGTTTTTCTTTTTTGGTATTGGAAATGTTGTAATGAATAAAGTTTGGTTTATACATTGCTAGAATGGTTACTTTGTCGTTTATATTTATAGATGTTATACGAAGTAGTTTGGAAAAAGCTGAAATGAGCCTATGGTTCATGGTTTACTATGCATGCTATTTACAACAATGTTTTGATGTTTTAGGTAGCATTGACCGAAAAATGGGCTGAAAAGTACAGCAACAAAGGGATTGGGTTCTACACGATGCACCCTGGATGGGCTGAAACGCCTGGAGTCACCAAGAGTTTGCCTAGCTTTTCAAAATCGTAAGTCTTTCTTTCCGTTCTACTCTAAGAAACAGGGGTGCTTTTGCCCTTTGCTGAATCACCGTATTAATTGCTTTGGCATGCCTTCGGGGTGCGGGTTGCATGGTCGTAGCCCGGATATCCTTAACCATTTAGAAGTTGTATCTCAGCCGCTCTACTATTTGAGGTAGAGGCCTGATCAGTGATATATTGGGCTAGTTTGGTTTATCTCGGTAGAGAAAAGTTCAAATGAGAACCATAAATATTTTGAGAACCGTGAGAATCAGTATATATCGATGCATATACACGATCAAAATATGTGTACGTCAATTAATATTCATCAATATATATGTAATATATATGCATTGGTGCATATATTTGCTAAAGTTCATATAGTGTATATGCATCCTTCCGGTTCTAATGGTTCTCAAAAATATTTATTGGTTCTCATTTTAACCATCCCCTATCTCACTTCCACTGATCGACCCCCATTTAGTTTTTGTTATTTTAAGTTGTATAATTAAAATAATCAAGTTTTTGAACTTCTCAAATCATTATACATGGTTTTTACTTGCAAACTGATCACCATTCTTGCTAAATTGAATATATATATATATATATATATTAGAAGTTCATTTCTTAAGAATGAATGATTTTGGACAAAAAGCGAAGTAGATTGTTATTTTTGCATTTATATATTTACATATTTTGTCAAAAATCGTTCGACCCTTGCAAAATTTGTGTGTGAATTCAGCATTTTTGCAAGAATGATGTTTAGTTTGCAACAAGAAGTCCAATATAACCGTTTAGAAAGTCAATCACTCTTTCGGAATATAGTTTTCATGAGGTTTTTCTATTTCGTGTGAGTGAAATCTCAGGCTCGAAGGGAAACTAAGAACGAGCGAGGAAGGTGCAGACACTGTTATCTGGTTAGCTTTGCAACCAAAAGAAAAGCTAGTTTCGGGTGGCTTTTACTTTGATAGAGCCGAAGTGCCTAAACATTTAGCGTTTGCTGCAACCAAAAGTTCTCACGATGCTATAGATTCCATCGTAGCTACCCTTGACTCGTTCGGTAATTTCTCCATATGATTCTTTCAAGAACAATGCATAATGATTAGTGTGTTTGTGTGTATATATACACTCAAATGGAAAAAGCCAAAATGTAAGTGGCTTTTTTGGATGTTTATGTATGTTGTACAACCAAAGGGTCATTAGCTAGCAGACAGGTAGAACCCAATTTCTCAGGAGATCAACGTGTGCTTTAATATCTGTTATATATAAATATTATATACGTAAAATACATGTATATCATGTATAAAAATATGTTTAGAATATAAAAACAATGCTTCACGTCAATTGGTTACAAGTTTTTTACTTGTGTGAATAATTTTATGCTGTGTCACATTAACGGTCAAAATTGTATGACGTTATTCTTGTCATGTTTTGATGAAATTATGAGGTTTTCGTTATTTTTTTTTGTGTGTACTTTCGATTCATTTTACTACGTTTATTGTAACTTTCTGTATTTTCCTTGTGTGCTATCTTACTACTAAGTAGAAGCAGTCAATGTTAAATAATTCAAAGGGTGATAATTATTGAAGAGGAAAAAGTCCAAACTCCATATTTTATGAAAAATACATTGGTATATTTTATGTTTTTTTACTTGGAATTTTTTTTTAAGTATTTATAACTTGCCATTTTATAAATGTATTCTTTTTTTATTATTATTAATCTAGATATCCAATCCATTATGCTAGCTGACTAATCTCATGGCGACCACCTGCTTTGCAGATAGCCCGGAATCACCGCATTTGAACCTCCATGGCCACAACAGGATTTTTATTTCTCCTTGGATTTGAACCTGGAACCTTCTGGTACCTTTGATCTTTGGAGCCAAACTCAAACCAATCAGGCACCACCCTTGTGGTTTTAAATGTATTCTTTTAGGCCCATTAGCTCGTTGACAAGCTCGACCCCTTTATAGGATGGGCATGGGCAAGTTCTCAAACCCATAAAAACGGGCTTGGGCTTGCTATATTTAGGCACGTTGGACAAGAAAAATATGTTAGGCTTGACTAGAGGTGGCCAAAATTCGGTCCCGGGCCGGGCCTTAACCGGTCCCTACCGGGCCTAATCGCGACAAAAACCGGCTGTAACCGGTCCCGACATAACCGGTCCCGGTCCCGGTCCCGGTGATTTTCCTTGTAACCGGTCAAGGTTATTAGTAACCGGTTGTCCCAACCGGTCCCGGTCCCGGTCCCATAACCGGTCCCGACCGGGCCTATCCAAAAAAAAAATGATTTTTTTTTTAAAGTTTTGGTTATTAATAAATTTTTAATATGTTTGTAATATGATATTTTGAATATGTTTTATTATAAATACATTTTACTATAAATACGTTTTGTTATATATATATATATATATATATATATATATATATATATATATATTTTTTTATATATATATACGTTTATAAATACGTTTTGTTGTAAATACGTTTAAAAATACACAATAAAAATACGGTTTATTATATATATACGTTTCGTTGACTTTCGTTGACCGGGCCGGGCCGGGCCGGGCCTATAACCGGTTACATAACCGGTCCCGGTCCCAAAAAACGTCAAAAACCCTAACCGGATCATAACCGGCGGTCCCTCAACCGGTCCCGGTCGGTCCCGATCCCTCTCCGGTCCCGGTCCCGGTCCTCCGTCGGTTACGGGCCGGGCCGGGCCCATTTGGCCATCTCTAGGCTTGACCCATGACTTGTCTAAGCCCGTAAATGATCCCCTCTAGTCCAGACGAAATCTCCAATAATAGATGTGGATGAGGGTGAACTTGAGTGAAACATTCCCTCCTTAGACATTGGCTCTGGGAGAGAGAATTTTAAAATAAGGAGACTTAGGCTTAACTTAGGAGTCGTTTACCGAACGCTTATTCGGATAAGTGAACACCAAGTCATTTTACCTTTCCGGATGAATATGGTAAGGATCAAGAATCTTACCCGGTAAGAGTGAGACAAGGACCAAGAGTCTTACCTGGTAAGTGAAGACGATGACTCTTACCACGGTAAGCGCTTACCGGGTAAATTGTTGCATACGATACTGTCGGTTTGGTGGACTAAAATCTTATCTGGTAAGTAAATGATAGTACTAAATTTACACGTAAGCGCTTACCGGGTAAATTGTTGCATACGATACCGTTTGGTGGACTAAAATCTTATCTGGTAAGTAAATGATAGTGTTATATTTATACGTAAGCGCTTACCCCAGTCCAAGGTAGGACATTAAAAGAAAAAGAATACAAGGATAAAAAAAGTATACTTTTAATGCAAGTAATGATGATTAGTCAAAGAATAGTTTGTATTTTCATTTTCTTCTTATTCATGATCTGCCAAGTCCGAAAGCTGCAAGAAAAGGGGGCCACCGACATGTCAAGATCAAAATTAAAAAGGTAGATCATTTTCGTAACGCTTTCACAAGGAATGCTACTTTCAGATATCTTTCTCCTCAGGGAGTGTCTTTAAAAACCTAAAGACAGTAGGAGAACCAAGTACACTAAGTTCAACAAAGTTGATCATGGGAATGAATCCTTTTAAGGAGGGGAGATTTATAACATTACAAATTAGGGTTGGATTCTCGTGAGATCAACATGTTTTCATGAGACATGTGAGACCATAAAATAACACTGAATGTTCACAACAAAACACTATGAAGGTGAAAAAACATCAAAAACATTGTATAAATCTCACCATTTAAATTCAAAATCTTATATAAAATATATACAAAAAGGTTTTACAAGTAATAAAAGATTTATGAAAAAGATTTATAAGCGCAAAAGGCTTGAGAATGCACCTTGCCAATATTGTTGTTACAAATATCAAATAAACATTTATTAATGAAGAAAAAACATAGCAATAAAGAAGAATATTTTAATAATCACTTTTAGAATTATTATAACAGATTTTAAATCTAAGAGATTTGGTATAGTTTATGAACACAATTAAACCACCAATATTAAAACTAAACCTACCACTTTGAACACCATGTGAACACCGGTAAGAATTTTCTCAAGTTCTATTATATTGTGTTCACTATGTGTTCATCTTGTATGCACATTAAATTGGGTGTCTCTGTGCATGTATGCATATGCAGATGGCTATGGGGGCCATGCCCCTGTGTTTTTTTGCTTCTTTAATAAAATTGATCATTTTAAGGTAATCCATTAGTAATAAATTTCAATGTTTTTTGCTAAATTTTTACTTGAATTATGGACTTTTTGTTTGAGTTTTTCTGAAAGGCTAACAATATATAAAAAGAATAAAAAAGTACCGAGAAAGGGAACAACCAAAGTTTTCTACAAGGTGCAGAAACAACCCAAGATACAGCCCCAACCAAAAAATCTAAAACGAATTAACCACCAAAACTAGAAAAGAAACAACAAAAACAAAGACTACAAAACCCGTATGTACCAAACTGCATACATGGACTAACTAACATCTATCACCACCAAGATAAAGACAACCTTAAGGAAGAACAGATACAAAACAACACTCAAAAACACGCCACCTTTTGCTGTTGGAAATCAAAGGGAAAAAGCAAAACCTGAAGCCAAAACAAGCCAGATACAATGGATGATTGGTCGGTCAAATCTTTTACCTTTACACTTAATGAAATTGGGCCACAAAGCAAGTATACAATACAGCCCAACGTCGTCTTTCCAAGTAATAAAGTGGTACAAGTACCGGAATATCGTCCACAGGGATTGGAGCAAAAGTTCAATAAGAGTCTAATAAAAGAAAAGATTTCAGATGACGAAAACGAAGACTTTAGTTTGATTCCAAGTTAACACAGGTAATATAACAGAATAATAAAACAGAATAATAAAGCAGAGTAATAAAGCAGAATAGTAAAGCTGAATAGTAAAGGTAGCACGGGTGTAAGATTTGGGRTGAAAAGTAAACACGAAATCCAGCAGACAAAGGTGTGGAAGGACCGGTCCCACCATTTATCTTGAAGGTATTCCTTTCGGACTTCACCTTTGCACTATATTATAGCTTTGCACCCATATCTCTATGTGGTGTTCGGACCAGGGATAGTGACAAAATGGTGTCTTCAAGATATATGGCTAAACAAATCTCTTTGTTAAAAAATCACTCTTTCGAGCCGATTCCCATATCATTCAAGTTGGCGTGTTCTTGATAGTTCATCTCTGAATTTATCACACTTTGACACTTTTAGAGAGTGACCAACCCGTCGGGAGTTCAAGTTAAAAAAACATAAATGACAAGTCTCCTTGTCGGCAACTTTCTCAAGTCTACCTCTCATATCATTCAAACTGACGTGCTTATCATGGCTTATTTCTAAGTCCATGGCACTTTAACACTTTCAAAGTGATCAACTCGTCAAGAAGTGTGCTTGGTTTTATAAAACTTGAATGAAATAGTGGAACATTGTTATTGCGAAACAATGTCCACTTTCATTCGGTTTAACATTTCACCCTTTACCCTACACCTACTCATTACGGAAAGTAAATGACATAAAGTAAAGACATGAATGTAAATAACGRAAAATAAATGACGGAAAGTAAAGACGGAAAATAAATACGGAAAGTAAATGACAATAAAGAAATAAATAAAAGACGAAATGTAAATAACAATAAYTAAAAGCTTGTAAATACTACTAATAAGATGAGAGAGTTTTTGGGAGTWCAAAATGGAACCACAATCGTCCAGSAGGTGTATGGAAAAGAGAGGCCAAAGGCCTTCTTTTATACCCACCAAATGAAGAAAAGACAAAAATAAAAAGGAAGTASAAAGTACATGTGAGAAGAYTAGAAAAAGGAGATATCATCTCCATCAAAACAAGTCAACCAAAAAGTCTTCTCCACATCATTTCACCAGCTGTTAAGGGTCCAAAATGAGGGCTTCTTCAGCTCAGACCTCCATCCAAGACAATGGCTTAACCAATAAGCACTTCTTCAAAAAGCCAAAATGCAGCCG